GACTGACTCTCTATTGTTTCAACGAACGTTTCGGGATTGAATGTCTTTAGTCTGGCCTGGGGCGTGTCCCCACCACCCATCACGGAACTAATTCCTCTGGTCAAGGAAGCAGAATTCGCTCGAATAGGCCAGGCTTGGGTCAGAGTTAAGTGTAACCAGCTCATCACAATTTGCCTGGGACTTTTCTGGTTTCGGCACTAGAAGTCCCATGCCCCAGGAAACCCCTCAATTTAGGTCAAAATTTGCCCTAAAGAAGTCCATGCCGGAGAAGAGGGGAGTGTGTTGTCAGCCCCAAAAGACTCTCGCGACTAGGAGTGAAGGTGGGATGGTTTTCTGGAGGCACCCCCAGAAGGGGAAATTGATTCTGGGAAGGCCAAGTAACAAAGTAATAACTTCTCCATGTGCCTTTCTGGATTAGAGGTACCTTGAGGACAGAGAGTGAATCTTACTTATTTTTGCATCTTTCCTAAAATTTAGCACACTGCCTTCCACATAGGAGGGCCTCAAAAGAATTTCTCCTACTTCTTGCGCAACTTTATTAAATACTTTAAAAAATTCCTGTAGAGGGAAGAATGTCTAACACTAAGTAGGTTCATGATAGATAATACAGGATCACTTTTAACATGAGCATTTAAAATAGTTTATAGTCTTATTTGATTGAGATTATTGAAATGCAATCTTGCTGAAAATGGGGTGGGTGCAGAGTTTGTGTTAAACTTTCAAAATTATTAAAGTACTATGATTCCTAAGGTCCTTTTCCCATCATATTTAAGAGAAAACCTCTATTATGTTTTCTTTACATTAACATCTAATATATATTAAAAAGTGAAACTTAAAATACATTCCTTGCGACTTGAAATTTGATTCACTAGTTTCAGTTTTGTCGTTAAACCAGACTGAGCAGTGGACAGGAATTGTTTTTCTTGGGGCAGGGTGTGACTTTTCTTGTGAAACTTTTTTCCTGTAATTTCTAGCTTCTGACCCATTCCTGCCAGCAACGAGTGATGCCTCCCAATTAGGAGTTTAAAAGAAAAATAACTGCATGAAGAGCTATGTCGTTGATTTTGAAAACAGGATAAAACATTTTAAATATTTTACACTAATGAATAAATGCTGTCTTGAGCCTACTTAATGGGGGGAAAAAGATACTCCCTCTAACATGCTGCTTCCAAACTTGACATTGGCCATGGAGGCAAAGACTCTAGTTGTAATCAGTTTGTGTGAATTTAGCCAAGTCGGTTCTCTCTGGGGCACCACATTCATTTGTACATGATGGATTTAGACTATAGCTCCTAGTCCATTTCAATCTCCAACACAAAAATGGGCTTAAACTTCATCCCTATTTCTAAGATTTATATGAAATTCCTTTTTCAAAAGCTGAGCTGAAAATTATAAATGAATGTTATTATTTTGTCTATCTATATAAAGGAATATATCAGAAAAATCACACTGGAAATGGAGAATTTGTTACTGTTATGTTTTCTTTTATTATCATTAAATGCTTCCAATGACCCTATAGTGGACTCTCTGGTGGCTTTCCCAGCACCCACTACACCTCACTTCCATTGACAGAAGACGTGCAGTTTGGGAAAGAAAACTCAGCTCAAAGTGCAGACTGAATTGGTCTGCTGAATTTCATATGCTGGCTTAGGTTTGGGCATATGACACAATTGTAGAGTGACTGAAGGAGATAGTTGCTGGAGCCAAACACAAAAAACAAAAAAACTGAGAAGTCATGTCCATTGCCCAGAGGAAGTGAAAAATGAATCATATGATCCCTGCTGCTACTGTTACCTTTACCACTAGAGGAACCAGAAGCCAATTCTGTTAATAGCTCCGTGAGGAGTTAGAAAGAACTCAGGACACGGTGACATTGTTGAGCTGCTAATTCAACCAGTTCTGAAGCCTGCCCTACCTCTGGACTTCCTGTTTTGTGAGATGAGAAATATCCTTATTATTTAAGCATCTGAAATAGGTTTTCATTTGTGGTTGACACAGTAAATATTTGTAGGATAACAGATGCTTGGGACAAAAAGATCCTTATGAATCATTCTGTCCCTCTATTCTTCACCACGTTATCTTACAGAGGAGACCAGGCTGCATAGGACTCCCTGATCTGACCCAGTCACATGGGCAGGGGCAGGGACAGTGAATGAAGGGAGCCCTTCTCTCCTGATGCCCATACAGCAGCTGTCTCCATCACCACCTGACGAATACGGCAGCCAGTTTCTGTCTACTCTTTATGCAGTCATGCACCCAGTGAATGAACAAACGGGACATGCATAATCTTACGCCCCAAATGCCAGGACGTTTAAATTTAACTCAGTTGTATGTCATGTAATTTCCCCCAGAGCTCAGCTTTCCCCTGACCATTGTTCATGTCGAGGAACATTTTTCTGGTCATAGCAATAACAATCACTGACACTTAGCACGTGTGCTGAGTACTCTACTGTTTTATCTCATTTTTTGATAATAACCCGAAGAGGCTAGTACTATAAGAGGGCCTGTTTTGCAGATGAGGGCATGGAGGCTCAAAAAGGCGGAGATACTGGCCAAAGATTGCTCAGCTGCTGAGTGAGGATTCAAACTCAGGTCTGGCAGATCGCAGGGACTGGACAGCGTGGCCTCTGCCACTCCTTCCAGCTGTGGCAGCCCACGGACGGATCTGAGATGCCCCAATCCACCAGTGCACAGGCCAGCCTTGAGCTTTGAAACTGGAATTAACTTCTGAAGGTACAAACTAATAATCAACAGAAAATATCCAGCCCCAGATTATCTCTGCAGCTGCTTCCAGATTCTGGGGTCTTGGTAATGGCTCTACACTAAAGCTCCAGACCCACACGCATGTGTTAAAAAGAAACGCCCATTTCTCAGCTGGTAGCCATTCCTAGTTCCCTACTGCAAGGACCGTGTTTCTGTATTTCTTGCAACCTTACTCATAAACTGCCTAGTACTCAATTCGCGTGTAATACGGTGATCACTTCTCCAGCAACACGGACACATACTGCTTTGGTAGAGCCACACTGTATTTTTCCCAACTAACTGGAACTGGCTAAAGCTGCTCTAGACTCGTGCTGGGCCCTGGGGCTGCCAAAGTCGTTTTTCCTGCAGACACCTTACCGCCGGGTGCATGTTAACTAGGGGCGAACGGAGAATGGCAGTAAGCCTGAGGCTGGCAATAGCCAGGTGCCCTTTCAGGGACTCGCTGTTTCAGGTCCCCTGAAGGGCACCCAGCCCTGGGACGCTACAAAATGGGGCGTGGCAGGAGAGTGGAACTAACCTCTCCTACTAGATCCAATTCGACCCCCCCAAGCCCTCTGTCTCCAGGTTGTACCTGAATCCAACCAATCGGAAAGGGAGTTACATCGACGGCAGCTGAGGTGTCCAATCCGAGGACATGTGTCACACTCCGTCGTCCGCTGAGTCCCCACGAGCTGTAAAAGTGTTCCGCAGTCGCGCGCGGGGCAGCCGAGCACCCTCGGAGCGCCTCGGGTAGCGCGAATCTCAGGGAGGAAGGGACTGTTAACAGGGGCCCCTGTTAGTGCGCAGGAGCCTCAGGAAGAGCTCGGTCTGGCTCCTGCGCCTTCAGGTCTCCGTCGCTCCCAAGACCCAGGAGCGCCGGGTTCCGCGCGCGCCGGGTTCCGCGTGCTGCAGAGAAGAGGCGGCAGCGGGTGAGTGTGAGCCTAGCGCGCCCGGCGTTCCGGAGGGAAATGCCACCCCCTCCCCCGCCCACTAGGGGCTTTGAAAATAGAGGTGGTGAGATCCCCTACCCTTGATACACACACATCCCCCTAGCGGACAGCCGCGAGGGACCCCGGAGCGGCCGGGAGGTACCTGGCTGGGGGCGGCGCAAGGCGGGGTGGGAAGAGGAAAGGAAACAGAGCAGGTAGGCGCGGCCTGGGCGGACGGTGGGGTATGGGGTGGAGGCGGGGGGCGGTGGCGGGACAGAGGTGGAGGCCGAGGGGGCGGGCGTTTGATTTTACAGGAACGCGGTCCAAGGTATCGATCGACCTGCCTCCGCCTGAGTATTCGATTAGAGTTGATGGGAGTGACACGGCCAAATTTAAAAACGAATTTCCTAGAAAACCTAACAAGAAAGGTAACACTGAAGTGCTTTTTATCGGCCGGACACTGTGTTAAGCATTTTACAAATAACGCTTCCTTTTCTGGGCACTGCAACCCAGTGAGAACACAGCGTCCCATTATACAGATGGGGAAAGTCCTGCTCAGAGACGTGAAGCACAGCTAGCGACCACGAGCAGATTCAGGTTTATTCCAGCCTTGACTCCACTAGAGTTTCTTCTTTAACCATCAGGCCATCTGGTGGACCCAAGCTGGAAACCTTGCCAGTACTATAGAAAGTCAACTGCTCCTTTTAATATTCCGGTTTTCTTTTCTTTCTTCCATTTTTCCAGAGGTTGTTCCAAGCTATTTTAAGGAAATTAAACGAATTTAAAAGCAGGGAGGAGATATTTTATAACTAAAATATATAAAATATAAATAGCTCCTCCTTGCTTTTAAATCAGCTACAACATATAATTTGGGAGAAATTTGATGAACACAGAAGAAATACACAGGGAGTTATTTTGTAGAAAGAAATAATATATGTAGAAAGTAAGATTAAGTGTAGCTGTTTTGAAGATGCCGGAAAAGTTTGTATGTGCTGGAAAATTGAAGAATACTTTAGAATCCTAGAGTTGTTAAGAAATAGAGTCTTTCAGAGAGTAGTTTTAGTTTTTCTTTAGAATATCAAGAAAATTAATAATAATCTAGGGAAAATCACCAATGTTATCTATGTGAATAGACAATGCTATTTTATTTTATTTTAAAGCTGTATAAGAGTTTCATTATAAATACTATTTGTGAAGTGTTTAGAATAAGGCTTTTGTATTACAGAGCAGATGGCATGCTAATGGTGGCAAATAGCTTTCATCATATCCTTTAGTTGTCACACTCCCCCAATTTCAGCTAAGAATGCCAGTGAGAATTGCCTGAGATACATTTCATCCAAGTAAGAAAGTCATCCCAGTTGAGGTAGAGTGTGTTTTGGCCCCTGAATTGAAGAAAACTGCACACAACTTCTGTTGGGATTATCTAGGTGTAGTTCTGGTGACTCTGCTTTTTTTCCTTCCCTTTGATATCTTTTTGGTTTGAAAAATTACAGAATTTCTCCCAGTGCTTTGTAATATAGCAATTAGTGATTTTTTCATTCCTTGGAAATACTTGAGAACTTCTCACTGGTGTTTTGTTTATAGCTTAACAGTCCTGTTGGGATGAAACAGAATGCAGTAGACATAGATACAGGCACCATTAATGAAAGCAGGAAAAGTTCCGTTCATAGTTTGGAGATTAAAACTAGACTTGTAAACTCTCTGTTACTAGATTTCTAAACTTGTTAAGGACCTGAAATTAGTAAGAGTACAGACAGTAAGGCTACGAATTGCTTCCTGAGTTTGGCCAATCCAGGGACTTCATCTTCATCCTGTGTAAAAAGAAGAGGTTAGCCTAAATTATTTCTACTTTATAGTTTCACAGTAGTATCATTCCGCCTGTCACGGTACAGACTTTTTTCCTAACATAACAGCTTTGTAACTGTGGATAAAAAAGAGACTAAATTTGAGGGCCTGTTGTTTAACACTTTATGTATGCGCATTTTACAAACACAGAAACTGAAGCTGGTAGATCTGCCCACAGTCACCCGTCTACTAAATGTGAGCTCAAGTTCTGGGATCCTTCTGATTTCAGAGCCTCTAATCTTTCCACTTTGTCTGTGCTTCTAAGTCTGGGGACAAGAATCCAGCAGTGCGCTAAGGGCTTAGTGAACCCCAGGGTAAACAGCACATGTACCTTGACCCTCCTATTCACTCAAGATTTGGGGAAGAAAGATTTTGATTTGTATGTATTTTGTGTGAGAGAGGGGCAGACACAGGTTTTTGTTTTATTGTTTTGCACGTGGGAAATGGGGTAAAACACATTCACGTTAAAAAACTCAGGTCTTTGGTATAGAGTACACATTTCACATAATTTTTGAGGTAAGATGAAACATCAGAGATGTTTCCTGTTTTGTGGCAGGACAATCCAGATGCTTTTAAGATTACAATTTCATTTCTCTCTACTCTTTTTTTTTAATATAATGGTTTTATTGAGGTAAAATTCACATACTGTCTAGTTTACTCATTTAAAGTGTACATTTTTACGAATTGTGCAACCATCACCACAGTCAATTTGAGGACATATTCATCACCCCAGAAAGAAACCTGGTGCCCATTAGCATTTACTCCTCATTTCTCCTCAACCCCTTGCTCCAGACAAATCTACTTTCCATCCCTATAGATTTTCCTATCTAGGCATTTCATCTAAATAGAATCATACAATAAGTGATCTTCTGTGACTGACTTTTTTTTGCTTAGCACAATGTTTCAAAGTTTTATTCAAGTTATAACATATATTTGCACTTCATTCCTTTTTATTGCCAAATAATATTCCATTGTATGGATATACCACATCTTATCCATTTATCACTTACGGACATTTGAGATGTTTCCACTTCATGGCTCTTACAGATAATGCTGCTGTGATCATTTGTGTACAAGTTTTATCGTGACTTGTGTTTTAATTTCTCTGAGGCATATGCCTACTAGTAGATTTTCTGGGTCATACGGTAACTCTGTTTAAACTTTTGAAGAACTACCAGAATGTTTTCCAAGTGCCTGCACCATTTTCATTCTCACCAGCAGTGTATAAAAGTTCTAGTTTCTCTACATCCTTGCCAACACTTGTTATTATCTTTTTTATTATATCCATCCTAGTGGGTGTGAAGGGGTATCTCATTGTGGGTTTGATTTGCATTTCCCTGATGACTAGTGATGTTGAACATATTTTCATGTGCTTATTTGCCATCTCTATATCTGGAGAAATATCTTTTCAGATCCTTTGCTCATTTTTTAATTGGATTATTTAACTTTTAGTATTGAGTTGTTACAGTGCTTTATATATTCTAGATATAAATCCTTTATCAGATATATGATTTGCAAATATTGTCTCCCATTATGTGGGTTTTCTTTTCTCTCTATTATATCCTTTGAAATGTAAAAGCTTTCAATTTTGGTGAAGTCCAATTTATTTATTTATGAGTTTCATCACTTGTGCTTTTGATGCTGTATCAAGGCATGAAGGTCATGAAGACTTATTCCTATATTTTTTGCTAAGAGGTTTATAGTTTTAGCTCTTAATCTTGGTCATGAAGACTTATTCCTATATTTTCTGCTAAGAGGTTTATAGTTTTAGCTCTTAATCTTGGTCATTTTGAGTTTATTTTTGTACATGGTATGAGCTGAGGGGTCCAAATTCATTCTTTTGCATGTGGATATACAGTTATCTCGGCACCCCTCTGCTCTTAGAGGAACTCCGTTGGAAAAGTTTTAGACATACTGTGACACGATTCCTCAAAGGGCTTAGTTTTAAAAACAATGCTTTATGATGTATGGGTCTCAAGCGCAGCATTACAAGAAATTGTGGTGTTGTAGAACAGAGTTCATTCAAGCTCGTCTTTGTTCTTCCACGATGACAGCCCGATTCGTTGTTTTGATTATTTATGCCCCTATTTTGAGTATTTTATGTTTGAAAAGTATAAAGCCCTTGTCCTCTGAAAAATGGCACATACATAAATTTTGGTGTTATAGACTTCAGTTATATTATTTATTGAATGATTTTTTTTTATTGACCTAAGAGAGTATTTGGGCAAAGAATTCATGTGTAGAAAGTAACTTTAAGAGGTTTGGAAACACAAATTATTACTGAAGAGCTGTTATAGGTCACCTATAGGTCACCTAGATAAACGATTATTGTCTCTGTAATACATCTCAGACAGACTGTGATAGCAATGTGTGGTAAAAGGGAATTAAGGTTGACCATGATTTCTGTAACTGTTTCATAGTAATTTGCATGTGAGTTGTGCCTGGATAATGGAGGGACTTGAATGCCAGGCAGAGGTGTTTCTGTATAGGCTGGGGGACTTTGAATACTGATTTTATTAAGGAAGTGTCATGGACAGGGCTATTCCTGGGAAGGTTAAGTTGGGAGCGGATGTTGGGTGAGTAAGGGGAAGGTGATCGAGGTAGGAAGGTCAGTTAAGAGATGGAAGGGCTCTGATCAGGAGGCACTGGGGACTTGAAGAAGTGTGGCAGGGGACTTACCTGGCGGTCCAGTGGTTAAGACTCTGCACTTCCAATGCAGAGGGCACAGCTTCAATCCATGGTCAGGGAACTAAGATCCCACAGGCTTCTTGGTGTGGCAAAAAAATTAAAAAATAAAAACAGAAGTACGGCAGCAGTGGAGACTCACTCTACCTAAATTACATATCCTATTTTCTTAGGAACCAAAGAAGGTAGAGTCTGAAGGTAGGGAGATTTGTTTGGGGAAATCTGTTTTTTTGTAATCAGTAGATTGTTAAAAAAAGAAACAAAAAATCAGGGAGCGCTCTGAGCCTAGGGTGTTAGGCAGGATAGTTACAGTGGTCCCTCATTATCCGCAGGGAGATTGGTTCTAGGAGCCCCAGCAGATACCAAAATCTGCAGATGCTCAAGTCTCTTATATAAAATGGCATAGTACATGAATACAGTCAGCCCTCTGGATTTTCCATCCACGGTTGGTTGAATCCATGGATGTAAAACCCGTGGATATGGAGGGCCAACTGTATGTCTTTGACAGTAAAAAGAAGTTTAAAAGGGATGTGGTGATGAAATGCATTTCAACAGCTGTTGCATTTCTTCAGAAATTACCGTGGCATCCAAGTTCTTGTAGGCTTTGTCTGTTTGTCAGCCTCCTGTGAATATTGGGCAGGTTCAGATTGAGGTGGGACCTTTTCCTCAAGTAATATTTATTACTTACTCCCCTTTTTCATGCCAGTATTTTTCAACAGGAACTGATGATGAGCCAGTATGATAGAGTTTCCACCCCCTATTTCTGTGGATTAAAAGGAACTATAGGGTACCAGTCATTAAACTAGAAAAATAATCGCCCTCTCTGGAGCCTCTGAAAGCTTGGTGTTATTTCTGTTTTGTGCAAAAGGATTGTTTTTGTTTCTTCGTTTGTTCTTATTAAACCTTTAGAATAACTTTTGCTGCTGCAAACAAACAAGGCAGCCCATTTGTATGGAGCACAAGAATGGCCCATATCCCCTTCAGAGCATGAAAAATGGGGCAGGACATACAACTGGACAAGTAAAGGCAATTTTTATTTTTTCCCACTTTATCTTTATTGAGTTATCCTTCAGTAAGTGACATTATTTAATTTTCAAGTTGATGTAGGTAAAGCTGGTGTATAAAAAGTTTATAAATGTTGGTTTTCTTCTCCTGATGACTAAACTTTTGAAACCTAATCCAACTCAAATAGCATTACTACTTAGGAATTGTGTTTTTCTATTTTAGGAACCCTGACTGCCCTCCTTCAGCATGTTCACTATGAAGTTATTGCTGGTATTTTTGTTTTCTGGACTTATAACTGGTTGTAGAGGGAACTCTTCCTATACTTTGCCACCCAAGTTACTACTGGTATCCTTTGATGGCTTCAGAGCTGACTATCTACACAACTATGAATTTCCTCATCTCCAGAATTTTATCAAAGAAGGTGTCCTGGTAAAGCAGGTTAAAAATGTCTTCATCACAAAAACATTTCCAAACCACTACAGCATCGTGACAGGCCTGTATGAAGAAAGCCATGGCATTGTGGCTAATTCCATGTATGATGTCATCACAAAGAAACATTTTTCTGACATTAAGGACAAGGATCCTTTTTGGTGGAATGAGGCAGTCCCTATTTGGGTGACCAATCAGCTTCAGGAAAACAGATCAAGTGCTGCTGCTATGTGGCCTGGTACCGACGTGCCCATTCACAATACCACACCTTCCTATTTCATGAATTACAGCCCCTCAGTGTCATTTGAGGAGAGACTCAGTAATGTCTCCACGTGGCTGAGCAATTCGAACCCACCCGTCACCTTTGCAACACTCTATTGGGAAGAGCCAGACGCAAGTGGCCACAAATATGGCCCTGAAGATAAAGAAAACATGCGCCGAGTGTTGAAAGAAATAGATGACCATATCGGTGAGCTAGTTCACAAACTCAAGGTGTTAGGACTGTGGGAGGATCTTAATGTGATCATTACAAGTGATCATGGGATGACCCAGTGTTCTGAGGACAGGCTGATAAACTTGGATCACTGCATCGACCCCTCAGACTACACTCTTATAGACTTGACCCCAGTTGCTGCAATACTTCCCAAAATAAGTAAGTAAACTTTTAGCCAAGGAATATTTGAATGGGGCAGTTGATTGAGGAGGAAGGGTTTTGTAAAAGGATGAAGCTCAGACTTTTTGTAGTTCACAGCCATACACTCCTATACGCACTCAGAGTGGGATTATGTTTTTCCCCTGATGTATAAGTTTTTAGGCAATTAGCTTAAGGTTTAGGTTCAAAGGGATTATTTCTTTGCTTTTTTTTTTAAGTTAATTTATTTATTTATTTTTGGCTGCATTGGGTCTTCATTGCTGCATGCAGGCTTCCTCTAGTTGAGGCGAGCGGGGGCTACTCTTCGTTGCAGCGTGCAGGCTTCTCATTGCGGTGGCTTCTCTTGTTGTGGAGCACGGGCTCTAGGCACATGGGCTCAGTAGTTGTGCCACGCGGGCTCAGTAGTTGTGGCTTGCGGGCTCTAGAGCACAGGCTCAGTAGTTGTGGCGCACAGGCTTAGTTGCTCCACGGCGTGTGAGATCTTCCCAGACCAGGGCTTCAAACCCATGTCCCCTGCATTGGCAGGCGGATTCCCAGCCACTGCGCCACCAGGGAAGTCCCTCCTTGCTTTTTGATGTATTTCTTTTTTTTAATTTTTATTTTTTTATTGAAGTATAGTTGATTTATAAGGTTTCTGGTGTACAGCAAGGAAATGCTGTTTTACATATATATATATATATATATATATATATATATATATATTCTTTTTTAGATTCTTTTCCATTATAGGTTATTATAAGATATTGAATATAGTTCCCTGTGCTATACAGTAGTTCCTTGTTGATATATTTCTTACTTATTCACACTAATGGAAAGAGGAAATTTTTATCCTTAATAAACATCTTGGACTTTTGTGTGAGACATACCTTTTGTCTACCGATCTTAGAATTAGTAATTAGCAGTAATATGTAATTAGTTTATATTTACTTAGGAAGCTAGATGTGAAATTTGTCCTCTTTGTATAAAAGTCCACCAGGGATAATCACAAAATGAAGAGAGAGATACGTGAATGCTTGGAAAGGGGTGTGTGTGTGTGTATGTGTGTCCCCAACACTGTTACATCATTATTATTGCTCTGTTTTTTTAATGATTAAAGGGCTTTAATCGATAACATTGTTCAGGACTTATTTCCAGTTATTCAAGTTAGAAATATTTTTTCCTTATCAGTCAACATGAGTTTTTTCCTGTGCTGTTTCCTTTTCTTCCAGACAGAACAAAGGTTTATAACAAACTGAAAGTCTGTGACCCTCACATGAATGTTTATCTCAAAGAAGACATTCCTGCCAGGTTTCATTACCAACATAATGATCGAATTCAACCTATTATTTTGGTTGCTGATGAAGGCTGGACAATTGTGCTAAATAAATCATCACCAAAATGTAAGTATTTATTTAGAATTTTTCTTTTGTATCCTAGGGATAAATCACACGTTGTGACATTGTTCCATTAACAGGATACTTTGATTTAGAGATGTCCACACAGTATAATTAGTTCGATTTTCAACTAGGTGATTCTCAGGTTTTCATCTGAGAGCAATTTTTAGAAACCACAGTTTCATCCTTAGATTAGAAGGTTGGGTGATCTTAAGGGTGAAGGAGTAGTTTTACGTTTTTACAAAAACTTCAGTTACTGTCAGTAACTTTCAAGGCTGGTTCTCTTGATTTGTAAAAATAACAGAGTAGTAAAGAAACAAAGAAAATAAAAGAGAGAGAAGTCAAGAAACAAAGTAAAGGGGGAGAGATTAGCTAGTTCAAATTCTTTTTTCTTTTTTTGTGTTAAAAAAAATTTGTCCAAGTAACCTTAAGTCTTTCCCCAGTGATGAAATTGTTTACCTGAGTGCTACAGCTAGTTAGAACACTGGGCAAGAACCAGAAGGTATGCAAACAAAAATCGACCAAGTAAACAAAACAGATGGATCAAAATCTCTCCTCAAACTGAAGAAATGTATAGGGGAGAATTACAGCTTTTTACCCATACGGAAAATTCAATTCAAGTACATTTTTCAAAAATCTGATTTTGTAAACCATAGCAGGGGTCAGAAAATTTTTCTGTAAAAAGCCAAATAGTAAATATTTTAGGCTTTGTGGGACAGCTGGTCTCTGTCTCAACTACTCAATCCTACCTTTATAGCGTGAAAGCAGCCACAGGCAATACGTAAACAAACTGACATGGAGTGTTCCAATGAAGCTTCCTTTACAGAAACAGGCGGAGGGCTAAATTTGGCCAGGTGCTGTGTAGTGTGCAGATCCCTGATCTATAGCAGTTCAGACGCATCAGGCAAGGATGAGACTGAGGGCCATTAGAGTTGATATATTATTGATACTTATGTTGTATACTAATTATTGAAAACTTGGAAAATACAGAAAAGTTCAGAAAAGAGAAGAAAAACTATCCATAATCCTTCAATACAGAAGTACAGCCAGATGTTAATTGTGGGTGTTTTCCTCCTTCTAATCTTTTTCTCTGTTACATACAAATGCATATTTTTATTATTAAATCATATGGTTTATATAATTCACATTCTAATCATATTCATTTATATTACTGAAATCATAATACCTATATATAATGTTATATTGTGCTTTTTATTGTATTGGTCACGTGGGTGGTTTTTATTATGAAACATTTCACACATACGATTAAAGAATATGTAACACTGATACACTCATCACTTAGTCACCTGCACTTCATATGGAAGTAGGAGCTTACTAAAAGGCAATATTTTAAAAAATAAAGCAAAAACTTGAGAATCTGGTATTGGAATGATATCAGGGACCATCAGGTTTTTCTTTGAGTTAGACTTTTACTAGAGTTACAAGTTGGAGTCACTAGGTTAGACTTCACATTCAAGGCAAGAATCCCTTCTGTAATGTGCTCAGTCCCCTGGCCCTCCAGATGTTGAGGTGTCCATTAGCTGTCAGTAGACCAGTGGTGTATTCCACATCCTATGTCGTGTCCAGGAGCAGCTGACATAGGTCAGGCTTCAGGCTCACTTCCTTGACACTCACTGGTTTTACTCACTTCTGCTCTCCCCAGTTACTCAGGACCCTCAGGCCAACCACTCTTTTTATCACTGGTGCTGTTTGCAGTGGGCTTGTGCAAACAGTGCTGGACACTGGCAGGTGAAATACGTGGGGCTGGGACTGAGAGAGAAGCACATCAGGCTGAGAGAGAGTTTTAAAGCCTGAGGTCATGACCGATCGAGAAGAGGTGGGGGTAGTGTGTGTGTGAAATAGATAACATGGGGCTTCCCTGGTGGCGCAGTGCTTGAGAGTCCGCCTGCCGATGCAGGAGACGCGGGTTCGTGCCCCGCT